ATATATATATATATATATATATAGGCCTAATAAACACTAATAGATAATAATAGAACATGGAGTAACAGTAATAATACAACATTAACTTTAACAACAACAACAGCACTAACAAAAACAACTGTCACTCTGAGAAAATATAACAGGCCCACACCATAATTCACTCTCCATAAAATTTCCACTCATCTCTTCTTTTTGGGAAAAATATAATAAAAACAGAATCTCTGGGATTTGAATCCGGGAGCGAACGTCCTAACCGACTAGACAACTAACAACTTTTTAGTTATGTGCGACACGGTAGCCTTCAATTACTGTTCGTTGGACCATGACAAACCATTCCAGAAAGTTTCATTCTGATGCATTGATCGGTTGTTAAGAAATTTAGGTCTGAGACATTCCATTTTGAGGGTCTCCGCATGCACACCTTATTCCAAATGTCATTAAAATTGCATAATTTTTTCCTTGGCCATGACGAACCATTCCAGAAAGATTTTCTGATGCATTTATCATTTGTTTAGATATCCAGGCCTTGGAAATTCCGTTTAAATAGTCGTCATATCCACACCCTAGTCTGGATCGTCACCAAAATGTACTCATTTCTTTCTTGGACAATGAATGCACTTTAAATGGCCACAAAAGTAGTAATACTGTTTTCCTTGCAACTTTGTTAACACTTCCAGAAAGTTTCACACCCTCTCCGGAACGTCACTAAAATAAGGAACCTTCAATTCAATATGAAAAATCATTCCACGCATGTAGACCTAAACCCTAAAATTGTAGGCATGAGACTGATAACAGAAAAACACGCACACCAACACATACAAAAGTTAATGAAAATATAACCTTTTCGAGGAGGTAACACGGTACAAATAACAATAACAAAAACATTTTCGGTACACCATGTGTAAAACCATGAACTTTAAGGTAAAACCAATGGTTGCAAACCTTAAAAAAATAATAACAATAACAATAATAAAACCAATAACACTATTACATACCAACGACTGACTATTTACAATAATCCAGATCAATGAATATTGCGACATACGACCATTCTGTCGGTGTGTTTCATTGCCTTCGAGAAGGCGTTTGACAGTAAGTAATCACAGCAGTCTCAGAGTAAACTAGGGCATACTTCCTACACAAAATACCATCGAGACAACGTATATAACAAGCAACAATCACCTTATTACATGTTAATAATAACAGAATAGAAAATATACCGGTAAGAGAGATCTAAGTTTTACTTCACAGGTTTAAACGAAATAGAAAAATAATCAACATATTCATGATTTCTCCGTCTCACACACAGTGCTGAAAACCAGAAAATGCTAAATGAACTCAAGAAAGGAAGTATAACCATAGTATAAATATACTGTTCAACGTAAAAGCCAAGAAAATCAATTACATCTAACTCAACAATCAGATTATAAAAGCCGCGCTCATTACTTGGACAACTTGTAAACATAGTTTACAGCCATAATAAATGATATAATAAATATAAATAAATAAGGTTGACTCCTATTTAAACATCAGTATAGTCGAATAATAACATCTTTACATTAAAAGCAAATATTGTTCTAAATAATTTTTTTTCAGTACTGGGCTAGAAGTTTATTTTCGGATTAATTATTGATGTTTTAATTTGCAATTTTCAAAATTGTGTAAATGAAAATAATTAACAATCGATTATCCGTTTAGTGGATACTAGATCTGTGGACGAATTCGTCGGTCATCTCACATATTGTAGCCTCCTATGCCAGGCATTGGGTATTCATCCGGAGATCTATACACTATGAGTTTTGCTTTAAGCTCCGTCACACTATCGATTTTAATTTGACTTAATTGGGATTTGCACATAAGTATGATATGACATCATCTTACTGTACACGGGCAAATGAAACATTATTGTTTGTTGCGTAAAACTTGATAGCTTGGGCCGCAGGCTCATGGCGAGATATTGTAATAAAGAGAAAATTGTCCAATTTATATAAGCGTTAATTAGAGACACTCTTTTATAATCTATCTAGGTTACGGTACGTGCTGCGTAAAGCTACAAACGACAGAGCTCCTGACATCCCA